CGTGGTTGAGGTGGAGGTGGCGCGTACGTGGCCAGGTGTCCGGTTGGCCCTCCTTCTCGGCTTTAGGACGACGGTGTGCGATGCAGGAGGACTGATACGTCTCCAGCGTATCTATAATTTTTGATTGTTCCATGCTATTATATTATCAACCTTGGATGTTTTATATGCATTTATATACTATTTTATATGATTTTTGGGACTAACCTATTAACCTAGAGCCCAGTGCCAGTTTCTGCTTTTCCCCTTGTTTTAGAGTATCGCAAAAAAGGAAAATCAAACGGAGTCCAATTGACCTGAAACTTCACGAAACTTATTTTTTGACCAGAAGAAGCCCACAGAGTATCAGAATTGGACCAGGAGAGTCCCGGGCTGCACACGGGGGTGGGGGGCGCGCCTCCTGCCTCGTGGACAACCCGGAGGTCCACTGACGTACTTCTTCCTCCCATATATACCCATATACCCTAAAAACTCCGGGGAGCAGAATAGATTGGGAGTCCCGCCGCCAGAAGCCTCCGTAGCCACCGAAAACCAATCTAGACCCGTTCCGGCACCCTGCCGGAGGGGGAAATCCCTCTCCGATGGCTATCTTCATCATCCCGGTGCTCTCCATGACGAGGAGGGAGTAGTTCTCCCTTGGGGCTGAGGGTATGTACCAGTAGCTATGTGTTTGATCTCTCTCTCTCTCTCTCTCTCTCTCTCTCTCTCTCTCTCTCTCGTGTTTTTGAGGTGGCACGATCTTAATGTATCGCGAGCTTTGCTATTATAGTTCGATCTTATGATGTTTCTCCCCCTCTACTCTCTTGTAATGGATTGAGTTTTCCCTTTGAAGTTATCTTATCGGATTGAGTCTTTAAGGATTTGAGAACACTTGATGTATGTCTTGCGTGGGATACCCATGGTGACAATGGGGTATTCTATTGATCCACTTGATGTATGTTTTGGTGATCAACTTGCGGGTTCCGCCCATGAACCTATGCATAAGGGTTGGCACACGTTTTCGTCTTGACTCTTCGGTAAAAACTTTGGGGCACTCTTTGAAGTACTTTGTGTTGGTTTGAATAGATGAATCTGAGATTGTGTGATGCATATCGTATAATCATACCCACGGATACTTGAGGTGACATTGGAGTATCTAGGTGACATTAGGGTTTTGGTTGATTTGTGTCTTAATGTGTTATTCTAGTATGAACTCTTGAATAGATCGATCCGAACGAATAACTTTGAGGTGGTTTCGTACCCTACCATAATCTCTTCGTTTGTTCTCCGCTATTAGTGACTTTGGAGTGACTCTTTGTTGCATGTTGAGGGATAGTTATGTGATTCAATTATGTTATTATTGTTGAGAGGACTTGCACTAGTGAAAGTATGAACCCTAGGCCTTGTTTCCCAGCATTGCAATACCGTTTATGCTCACTTTTATCATTAGTTACCTTGCTGTTTTTATATTTTCGGATTACAAAAACCTTTATCTATTATCCATATACCACTTGTATCATCATCTCTTTGCCGAACTAATGCACCTATACAATTTACCATTGTATTGGGTGTGTTGGGGACACAAGAGACTCTTTATTATTTGGTTGCAGGGTTGCTTGAGAGAGACCATCTTCATCCTACGCCTCCTACGGATTGATAAACCTTAGGTCATCCACTTGAGGGAAGTTTGCTACTGTCCTACAAACCTGTGCACTTGGAGGCCCAACAACGTCTACAAGAAGAAGGTTGTGTAGTAGACATCAATCTCTTTTCTGGCGCCGTTGCCGGGAAGGTTAGCGCTTGAAGGTATATCTTTAGATATTGCAATCGAATCTTTTAGTTTCATGTTTTATCACTAGTTTAGTCTATAAAAGAAAACAAAAAAATAATGGAATTAAGTTTGCCTCATACGCTTCATCTTTTCAATATCTTTCATGAGTACGATGGAAAGAAAAATTGTGCCAACGTGTTAGAAACAGAATGCATTAGAATGTTCGGCACTAAATAGCTGAATGATAAGCATGATTGCAATGTTGTTAGTATGAATTCCTTGAATATCCATGATGCTAATGATATGCAAAGCCACAAACTTGGGGAAGCTATGTTTGATGAAGATGATATTTTTTGTCCCCTAAGTTTTGATGAGCAAATTTATTATGATGAAAGCATGCCTCCTATTTATGATGATTATATTGATGAAAGTGGATTTGGAGAGGCCATGACTTTATTTTGTGATGAATCCACTATTCCGGAAGAGGTTCCAATTGATTATGAGAACAAAGTTGCTATCTATGATGATTATTGTGATGACTTATATGCTATAAAGAAAAATGATATCCATGAAACTTGTCATCATGATTTTAGTTTTCAATTGGATTATGCCTCACATGATAATTATTTTGTTAAGTTTGCTCCCATTATTATTCATGAGAAGAATTTTGCTTATGTGGAGTAATAAAACTTATATGCTTGTGATACGTAACGTATCTATAATTTTTGATTACTCCATGCTATATTATCTACTGTTTGGACTATATTGGGCTTTATTTTTCACGTTTATATTATTTTTGGGACTAACCTATTAACCGGAGGCCCAGCCCAGAATTGCTTTTTTTTGCCTATTTCAGTGTTTCGGATAAACGGAATATCAAACAGAGTCCAAACGGAATAAAATCTTCAGGAACGTGATTTTCTCACCGAACGTGATCTAGAAGACTTGGACCCTGCTCCACGGAACAAAAGAGGCGGTCACGAGGGTGGGGGGCGCCCCCCTAGGGCGCGCCCCTGCCTCGTGGGCCCCTCGTTACTCCTCCGGCGTACTTCTTCCTCCTATATATACACACGTACCCCCAAACGATCAGAACAGGAGCCAAAAACCTAATTCCACCGCCGCAACTTTCTGTATCCATGAGATCCCATCTTGGGGCCTGTTCCGGAACTCCACCGGAAGAGGGCCGTCATCACGAAGGGCTTCTACATCATCATAGCCTCTCCGATGAAGTGTGAATAGTTTACCTCAGACCTTCGGGTCCATAGTTAGTAGCTAGATGGCTTCTTCTCTCTCTTTGAATCTCAATACAAAGTTCTCCCCTCTTTTGTGGAGATCTATTCGATGTAATCTTCTTTTTACGATGTGTTTGTTGAGATTGATGAATTGTGGGTTTATGATCAAGTCTATCTATGAATAATACTTGAATATTCTCTGAATTCTTTTATGTATGATTGGTTATCTTTGCAAGTCTCTTCGAATTATCCGTTTGGTTTGGCCAACTAGATTGGTAGTTCTTGTCATGGGAGAAGTGCTTAGCTTTGGGTTCGATCTTGCGGTGTTCTTACCCAGTGACAGAAGGGGCAGCAAGGCACGTATTGTATCATTGCCATCGAGGATAATAAGATGGGGTTTATTTCATATTGCATGAATTTATCTCTCTACATCATGTCATCTTGCTTAAGGCGTTACTCTGTTTTTAACTTAATACTCTAGATGCATGTTGGATAGCGGTCGATGAGTGGAGTAATAGTACTAGATGCAGAATCGTTTCGATCTACTTGTCACGGACGTGATGCCTATATACATGATCATGCCTAGATATACTCATAACTATGCTCAATTCTGTCAATTGCTCAACAGTAATTTGTTCACCCACCGTAGAATACTTATGCTCTTGAGAGAAGCCACTAGTGAAACCTATGGCCCCCGGGTCTATTCTCATCATATCAATCTCCATTATTTTAACCTTGCTTTGCTTTTTTACTTTGCCTTTACTTTTTACTTTGCATCTTTATACCAAAAATATTATATCTATCAGATCTCACTTTCGTAAGTGACCGTGAAGAGCTTGACAACCCCTAATCGCGTTGGTTGCGAGTAGCTATCGCTTTGTGCAGGTACGAGGGACTTGAGCGTGGGCCCCTACTGAATTGATATCTTGGTTCTCAAAAACTAAGGGAAATACTTACGCTACTCTGCTGCATCATCCCTTCCTCTTCGGGGAAAACCAACGCAAGCTCAAGACGTAGCAAGAAGGATTTCTGGCGCCGTTGCCGGGGAGTCTACGCAAAAAGTTAACATACCAAGTACCCATCACAATCCCTATCTCTCACATTACATTATTTGTCATTTGCCTCGCGTTTTCCTCTCCCCCCAGTTCACCCTTGCCATTTTATTCGCCTTCTCTCTCTCCCTATCCCCCCTCTCTATTTGCCTCTTGTTTGCTTGTGTGCTAGTTTGCTTGCTTGTCGTTATGTCTGAAACTGGGAAAGTTATCGCCAATATGAGCGATAACAATATCATGGAAAATTCTGATGCTCCTGCTAAAGAACCTACCATCTTTCATACAAAAAAATTCCGTGTTGGTAGTGGTAATATTATTCGCGCGTCTCAGGTGCGGGCTGGCAACCATGGCCACGCGGGTGGCGTGGTTGCGGGGGGTTGACGATGGTAGGGTGCGACGGCGGGGTGTGAGCGCCGGGGTACACCACTTGCCCTGTCCTTTGACCGACCGACGGTGGTGGCGGCCGTTGACGTCGCATCCTTCCTGAAGACTCTGTCGTGGCGTTCCACTCGTGTCGTCTTGTTCCGCGTGAAAACCTGATCTTCGGGATCGAGCGGTGGCGGCTATCTATAGTCATATCCTTTTTGGAGGCGCTGCTTTGGAGTCACGGCTTCGTTGTTGTCTGGCTCATCTCTTTATTATGGTTGCTTATGGTGGAGGTCTCCGTCGGTTTCAAGCGATTTTCTTAGTTTGATTGTTGATCCATGGGATGATGTGTGAGTGTCTGACACCTTTATATCTTGCCTTGGGTATGTGCTGTGTGTGATGGTGCCGTTTGTTTGTACGGCTCTTAGTTGTAATGGTTGCTTTATATAATATAAATATAAATTGAGGGGAAATCCATTTTTGGTAACTCGTGGACAACAACGCTTACTTGCTCTGATTTTGATGGGAGAAATTTGAGGCAGCCTCCAGCTGCGGGAGCTGCTCCCCGCTGAATCGTAGGCCGCGGCGAGGTGTCGTCAGGCCATGGCCACCAAGATGCGCAAGCTGCCGAGCGCCGTTTTGCTGTTCCTCTTGGTCGCGGACCTGGGATGGGCATGGGCGCTGATCCCTTCTTCCTCCCCCGCAGGCCTCTCCGCCAGGCGCTACGACTCCATCTTCAGCTTCGGCGACTCCTACGCCGACACCGGCAACAACCCCGTCGTCTTCGCCGCCAACTCCGTCTTCAACGTTGTGACGCGCCCACCCTACGGCTCCACCTTCTTCGGCCGCCCCACCGGCCGCAACTCCGACGGCCGCCTCATCATCGACTTCTTCGGTACACATACGCACTGAACAAACTCTCCTGATCTGAGGTGGTCAACTCAACTGGTCTGCTTCGCAGCTCAACGCCTGGGCCTGCCGCTCGTCCCGCCGTCCCTGGCGCACAACGGGAGCTTCCGCAGAGGCGCCAACTTCGCCGTCGGGGGCGCCACCGCTATCGACGCCGCTTTCTTCCACGACGGGTCCGATCCCGGCAACAAGTTCCCTCTCAACACCAGCCTGGGCGTCCAGCTGCAGTGGTTCCAGGCTCTCAAGCCTTCCCTCTGCCGCACCACCCAAGGTTGGTACTACTACTTCTCAAGTCAATCGACGCAAATGTTTATTCAGCTAGCCGCGCTGCCTGCAGAGTGACATTTTTCTTCCGGTGCAGAGTGCAAAGCATTCTTCGGCAGATCCCTCTTCTTCGTGGGCGAATTCGGGGTCAACGACTACCACTTCTCCTTCCCCACCAAGAGCCTGCAAGAGATCACGGCGTTCGTTCCAGATGTGGTCAGGGCCATCTCAATGGCAATCGAGGTACCTACCTCAGGTCGTCAACCTGCATTTCACCTTCGGAACAGGGGCAGTTTAACATGGTATTGATCCAGCTATGGCAATGGTGACAGAGGCTGATCAAGCACGGGGCGACGAGTTTCGTCGTCCCCGGGACAATCCCCTCAGGGTGCACGCCGCAGTTCAGCAGCTACCTCGCCAAAGACAACCCGGCAGAATACAACTCCACCACCGGCTGCCGGGAAGATTATAACAAGCTAGGGATGCACCACAACCTGCTGCTGCAGGAGGCCCTGGAGAAGCTCCGGGGCAGGCACCCGGACGCCATGATCGTCTACGCCGACCTCTTCGGCCCCATCATGGACATGGTTGAGTCACCTCGCAAGTATGGTAAGCACTTTCAGAGCTGTTGTCTTGCAGCAGGTCAAGGCTGATGGTTGTCATTCTGCAGGGTTTGAAGAAGATGTTCTTACCAGCTGCTGCGGAGGGCCGGGGACACTTGTCTGCGGCGACGAAGGTGCAAACCTATGTGAGAAACCGGCTGCTCGTCTGTTCTGGGATGTCGTCCACTTGACGGAGGCGGCTTACCGCTACATCGCCGATGGCTGGCTGGGCAGCATAGACTCCCCTGCAGCTGCAAGAGAGAGCAGGTATCAGTTAGTGAGGTAGCAGAAGCTGCTCTGCTTCATGGACTGTTGGCTATGTGGAGTCTGGCCTGTCTGAACCGAAATACACTGGAGATGAAATGTAAGCATGCAAGTTTATTTTGGAAACCACTTGCTGTTCTTTTCGGAGCTACATTTCTCGGTTAAGTTGATCGGCTGGATCTGATCTGGAAATTCCTGATTACAACATTGAGACACTTATCTTGGATCGAAGGGAGTAATATATTTTAGAGCCAAAAACGTCATTGTATTGTTCAGCCTTTCATGCCATTACTTAGATATTCAGGAGAATCTACAATCATACATCATCTCAAAAGAAACCCTACTTAAACGCAGGGCAAATGGCATAACTGTGATCCTTGTATTCTGCAAACGTTTGTATTGCTGCGGTAACCATGGAAGACACTTCTTCAAACATGAGGATTTATTCGGTCTATGCAAATACCGCAATCTGCGGTGCAATGCATAGATCTGCTAGAATTGAGTTAATTGCATAAAACCTCCATATTTCGGGCTTCTTCAAGAAAACCACATGGTTCCTAATCATTTGCAAAAATCACCGTGCATTCAGTAAACTTTTTGCAAATAGCACTGATCGCTCGCTTTGCAGCGTTGGGGGCGTTTCCGATAGGTGGGACCCAAAATAGGTGACGTGGCGTAACGGCCTGGCGGACCGCGCCGTTAGGCAGTAGCTGGTCGAACCGGCGAGGTATGAGTGTCCGACTGCACCAGCTATGGATGGCTTGAAGGCAGCGCTAAACTTAAAGTACTAAATAAAGTGGCAATTTCGTTTCTTTTTTTACCTTTTAAATATTTCTTGGAAACAAAATTTCATGAAAATGCGAACAATGTTTCGAAATCATAAAACAATTCGAATATTCTTTTCTTAAATGTGAACAATTTTTAAAATTGTGAACAAATTTTGGAATCTAACAATTTTTTAAAAACAAAAAAAATACACCCTGAACATTTTCTTAGTATGCGGTGAACTTTATTCAAATACACACCGAACATTTTTTAAATATATGATGAACTTTTTTGAAATTCACGCTGAACAAAATTTCTGTAGACAATGAACATGTATTTATACACGGTAAACATTTTTTTCAATACAATGAACTTTTTTTAACAAGAACATTATTAGGAAAATGAACACAATTAGAATTCTGAACTTTTATTGGAATTTGGAATTCCAAACTTTTTGTTAACATGAATAAATTTGGAAAACACAAACAAAATTTGGAATTTCAAACATTTTTTGAAAAAATTGATTTATGGAAAACAAAAAAGAAAAATAATTAGGTTAAAAACAGATGAAAAAGAAGAAGTAATAAGCAGAAAAAAAACATGAAGAGAAGCGGGAAAAAATGTAACAAAAAATAAAACAGTAAAAAAGTCAGAGAACTTCTAAAAGGTTTCCAAAACCGGTTGCTCGCTCGAAGTGGGTCAACCCGTATCGCGTCGGTCGCTTGTTTCGCTTCAGCGAAGCAGCGATAGTTTGATGCTCATACGCGGCAAATAGGTTTCGCCGTTTGGGGAGAAGAGTCATATAGACGGCGCCACGCATAGGAGGCCGTCCAACTAGGTCAGACTATTGTCGCACACGGAAACATCGAAGATTTTATCGAAAAAGAATGACAGTGCGAGAGAACGAACTATGTAACTCACACTACTGACCGCTCGTCGCTAGGCACTTGAGCTGATAAGCTTCAATGTCTAACTACAGAAATGCGGACTAGTAGAACTATACCTCAGCGATTGGTTTACTTTGGCGAACCGGTCTTCTTCCCTGTTTTCTTTTCTTAATTATTTTTTGTTTCTTTTTTTCTTTTTCGTTTCTCTCTTTTCTTTAAAAAAATGCTCGCCCTTATAAAAATTTGTCCAAAATTTCGAAAACGTTTGCCTTTTCAAATTTTATTCAGAAAATACAAATATTTGCATGTTAAAAGATTCTATAGAAATTTCAAATAAATGTTTGTGTCTTTCAAAATTGCCTACATATGAAAAACATGAACATTTTTAAAAATAGCATGCAAATTTTGAACACGAATATTTTCTAAACATTTTTCGAAAAGCACGAACAAATAGGGAGTTTAAAAATAGAAAAAAATGAACGAAAATTTGAAATCATTTTTTAACTTCCCTGAATATTTTTTGTATTTACATAGAAAAAAACACCATGTTCACGTAGGGTGTCCTGGTAAGCCAGAAGGCTCTGTCTGAGAGCACATTTTTTAACATCCTTTATGATGGAAATATGCCCTAGAGGCAATAATAAAGTTATTATTTATTTCCGTATATCATGATAAATGTTTATTATTCATGCTAGATTGTATTAACTGGAAACATAATACATGTGTGAATACATAGACAAACAGAGTGTCACTAGTATGCCTCTACTTGACTAGCTCGTTGATCAAAGATGGTTATGTTTCCTAACCATAGACACGAGTTGTCATTTGATTAATGGGATCACATCATTAGGAGAATGATGTGATTGACTTGACCCATTTCGTTAGTTTAGCACTTGATCGTTTAGTTTGTTGCTATTGCTTTTTTCATGACTTATACATGTTCCTATGACTATGAGATTATGCAACTCCCGTTTACCGGAGGAACACTTTGTGTGCCACCAAACGTCACAACGTAACTGGGTGATTATAAAGGTGCTCTACTGGTGTCTCCGAAGATACTTGTTGGGTTGGCGTATTTCGAGATTAGGATTTGTCACTCCGATTGTCGGAGAGGTATCTGTGGGCCCACTCGGTAATGCACATCACTATAAGCCTTGCAAGCATTGCAACTAATGAGTTAGTTGTGGGATGATGTATTACGGAACGAGTAAAGAGACTTGCCGGTAACGAGATTGAAACTAGGTATTGAGATACCGACGATCGAATCTCAGGCAAGTAACATACCGATGACAAAGGGAACAACGTATGTTGTTATGTGGTCTGACCGATAAAGATCTTCGTAGAATATGTGGGAGCCAATATGAGCATCCAGGTCCCGCTATTGGTTATTGACCAGAGACGTGTCTCGTCATGTCTACATAGTTCTTGAACCCGTAGGGTCCGCACGCTTAACGTTTCGATGACAGTTATATTATGAGTTTATATGTTTTGATGTACCAAAGGTTGTTCGGAGTCCCGGATGTGATCACGGACATGACGAGGAGTCTCGAAATGGTCAAGACATGAAGATTGATATATTGGAAACCTATGTTTGGATATCGGAAGTGTTCCGGGTGAAATCGGGATTTTACCGGAGTACCGGAAAGTTACGGGAACCCCGGGAGGTTAATGGGCCTTAGTGGGCCTTTACGGAGAAGAGGAGAGGCGGCCAGGGCTGGGCCGCATGCCCCTCCCCCCTAGTCCGAATAGGACAAGGAGAGGGAGCGGCACTCCCCTTCCTTCCTCTCTCCCTCCTCTTTCCCCTCCCCCCAAGTCCTAATTCAACTAGAAAAGGGGGAGGGGGGAGTCCTACTTCCGGTGGGAGTAGGACTCCTCCTGGCGCGCCCTCTCTCCTGGCCGGCCGCACCCCCCTTGCTCCTTTATATACGGGGGCAGGGGAGCACCCTAGAGATACAACAATTGATCGTTTGATCTTTTAGCCGTGAGCGGTGCCCCCCTCCACCATAGTCCACCTCGATAATACTGTAGCGGTGCTTAGGCAAAGCCCTGCGTCGGTAGAACATCATCATCGTCACCACGCCATCGTGCTGACGAAACTCTCCCTCAACACTCGGCTGGATCAGAGTTCGAGAGACGTCATCGGGCTGAACGTGTGCTGAACTCGGAGGTGCCGTGCGTTTGGTACTTGATCGGTCAGGTCGTGAAGATGTACGGCTACATCAACCGCGTTGTGCTAACGCTTCCGCTTTTGGTCTACGAGGGTACGTGGACAACACTCTCCCCTCTCGTTGTATGCATCACCATGATCTTGCGTGTGCGTAGGAATTTTTTTAAAACTACAACGTTCCCCAACACTTTAATGACCCCTTTTTCCTGTGGCTTGTATGTTGAATTTAAGGTATCATGTCAAGTTGTTTCGGCTTTTGAAATTTTTTGCGTTTTCTGGAGTTCGGTAAAAAAGCTAATAAATGACCGGACATGTCGCAACATGGAAATGGTATCAGAATTTGTTCAAATCTTGCATGGAAGCCGCATATGTCCGTGCGGAGCTGTTGCAAGAAATTAGTGTCATTTATGTTTAGTCCAAAAAAACCATCAGTTGAGAGGAGTGCGTTAGACTAGGCAGGACGTGTGCATCCGTGAGCATGCAATTTTTCCTCGGTTAGTTGCAATTTCCGTCATTATCTATCAACATGAACATATTCTTATATGCTAACCATTTCTTGAGATTTGTCAACAATTTAGGAATTTTAATTGTGTATGAAAATTTTCTAGGCTTAACACTTTTAAAAATTGTTATCAAATTCCCAACAACTGATGGTGAAAACAAATTGCATACCACACACTTTTTTTAGTAAAATATCAACTTTTTTGAAACACAAACATTTCTTAAATTTCTGAACAATTTTTTTGGAAACAGGAATATTTTTTAAATTCCAGACCATTTTATAAAATTGTAAACAATATTTGAACACAAATTTTTTTTTAGTATTTGAAACAGTATTTAAAGGCTTTAAAAAGAATAGTTAAGTTCAAGAAGGAGGAAAAATGAATGAACGGGAAAATGAAAATTGTCGTTGCAGCGAGTGGAGCCTAGGACACAACCGGACAAGCCCACGCCAAGTAGTGAGTGGAGCTCGCTCTGTGCACACCACATGGGCTGACCCCGATTTAAAGAAGTTCACAAATTTGAAAAATGTTCATCGCTTTTTAAAAAAGTTCATCACTTATAAAAAAAGTTCAAGTATTTTCACGAAAACGTTCATGAACTCGAAAAAACTTCACCAATTTTTAAAAATATTCAGGAATCTAAAAAAATACTCACCGGATTTTGACAGTAGATCACGATTTTTAAAAGTTCATGGATTTTGATAAAAAATCTACGCAAATTGGAAAAAAGTTCATAAATTTTGAAAAAAATCACAATAATAACTGAAAAAGTTTAGTAACTTGAAGAAACTTTTGCGAACTAAGAAAAGGGAAAAAGGAAAAATTGAAAGAAAAAACGTCGAAGAAAAAAGTGCGAAAGAGAACAAAAACAGCCACAAAAGAAAACCATACACGTTACATTTGTTGAAAGGATGGAAGAAGATGAAAGAGTACACAGCAAAGTAACCTGGCGCAATGGTTAGCAGCTGTAGAGGTCTCAAGTTTGAATCTCCCCAGTGCATGCCTCCCGTATTTTTTGAATTCTTACAAAGAAAAAAAAACTAAATGGGCGAAAGCCCAAGACGGCGAGTTGGTGTGCACCAAATCTGGAAAATCACTGCGTAGCTTTGCTAAAGAAAAACATATACAGCAGGCATTTCAATATATGACCATCATATCTTTTCTTATGAAGAGGTATGGGCTAATCTGAGCCGTCCTTTCTATTTAGGGGGGAGGGGGTACCGAAGAAGTGTTTTATCAATTTGTTGAGCTATCATCTTCCCCAAGCATCATTGCGGAGATTGTAGGGAAGATTCGGGACCTTGCCCATAAACTGAGCCGATCAAACTGTACCTCATCCGGCCTCATGCAGTCCATGAACTCAGCCAAGATGACCATGTTCTTACTAACATGCAGTTTGTTGCGTAGTTTTACGCGCCCCTTCAAATCGGTGTATATTTATACATCCCTATATATATAATTTACAGGTATAAGCCACCGGCCACACGGATGCAAAGTTACAGCTCCCGAGCACATTTGGACCCGGATGACCAGTAACACCGAAATACACTGAAAAAAGTTCAAAAAAAAAATCTGATTTTTTTGGTGGCAAACATTTACAAATGTTCTAAGTGCTTGCAAAGTTTCATCGTGGAATCACATTCGTGGAAGCCATGCCAAAAAGAAACAAAATGGATGCTCCTAAAATGCTACTTTCAAAAGCATTTTGGAGCATTGATTTTGTTATTTTCAACGACTTCTACAGATGTAATTTCATCATGAAACTTTCAAACACATGAAAAAATTGTCAAAGTTTGCCAAAAAAAATTCAGAATTTTTGAAACTTTATTTAAATATGTTTTTTGGTGTTATTGTTCACCACGCGCTCATTTGAGAGCGCAAGCAGAAGGGGACTTCCGTTTTGTACTTTTCTGGGTTGGTAGAGCAGTAGCAATGGTGTCAAGTTTTTACTTTGTTCAGCCTGTACTCTTTGCTTCTACAATCTGTTCACATTTAATTTACTTAGTTTCTACAGCAGTAGCACTTGCTTTGATGTCAAGTCTTCTTCATATTTCCCTCGCAAAAAAAAGTCTTCTTCATATTTAATTAAGAACCATATTTGCAACGAATACCAGTTATCTGTTGTACAATTTTCGTAGCGTGGAGGGCATAGTTGCTGCTGTTTTATCACTGAATCTGCTGAAAAACTACAAGTCTAGAAAGTCAGGGCTTCAGTTTTGACTTTATAAGATCTGGGCCTTTGGATCACGTGTAGAACCTCAATGGAGAGTCTGTCGACCGGCCTTGGACATCTTTGTCAGTCCATGGTAGAGGGATGCATTGGAGAGTCTGCAAGAAGACTGTTTCTTCTTGTTCCGACTTCGCTGAATCCCTACAACATTCCACAGAGGGAATTTGTACGGTGTACAAATGAGTTTTCAATACTTTTTAGTAGAGGGCTTGTAGTCTGTAATTGGAAACAAATCTGAACACATATTCAGATTCAGATCCAACAAATCCGGAATTGGATTTCTCTAGCAACCTTCTTCAGGAATCAGGATATATATCACTTCCATCACCCTCCATAAGGTCCTGAAGCGAAGTTGGTATTGGAGGCATATCAACGTCCACGACACCTTCCAACATGCGAACAGCTTGCCCCATTGACGGCCTATCGTTCTCCTGGTCCTGGATGCACCAGCAGGCGACCCTACAGATGACCTCCAGCTCCTCCACATTAGCATCGCCTTCCAGCCGAGCGTCCAGCAGGCACAGAACCTCCCCTTCGTTCACCTGCGCAGCCGCGTGGAGAGGAAAATACCGATGGCTCCCAATTTTCACCACCTCAGTGCACCTTCTCCCCGAGACGATCTCGAAGAGCACAATGCCGAAGCTGTACACGTCGGCCTTCCTGGTGATGGGCAGCCCGGACAGCCACTCCGGCGCGAGGTATCCCATGGTTCCTCGCATGGTGGTCAGCGCGGAGTTGAATTCCCGTCCCAGCAGCTTCGCCATGCCGAAATCGGCGATCTTGGGGCAGAACTCCGCGTCGAGCAGTATGTTCTCGGGTTTGATGTCGCAGTGTATGATGCAGTCCTCACATTCTTCATGCAGATAGGCGAGACCCTTGGCGATGCCCAGTGCAATTTGGTAGCGAACGTTCCAACTCAACACACCAGATTTCTCCCTAAAGAGATGAGCGTCCAAGGAGCCATTTGGCATGTACTCATAGACGAGCAACCTTCTGTCCTCCTTGACACAGAATCCCAGCAGACGGACCAGCTTATTATGTTGGATCGCTCCGAGTGTCTGCACCTCTGTTCTGAACTGCTTCTCTGCTTCCCCGATTACTTTGAGATTCTTCACAGCGATGTCTGTTGATCCCGGCAGCGTTCCCCTGAAAACACTTCCGAATCCCCCCTGGCCGATTTTATCGGAGAAATTCATCGTGGCTTTCTTGATCTGTGCATAAGTGTAGACCACAAGAGGGCCTTCCACTTCAAACTTCCCGGCGGCAAGCGAATTCCTCCTGAATCTCCATAGCAGCACCATTATCAGTATCAAGGAAGCAAAGCATATCAATCCAGTGACCAATAATGCAATTCCTCTTGCTTGCAAGCCTTTCTTGTTCCTGGGCGCGGGGCCCAAACGGAGGTAGATCTTGCTGTACGGTGGCCTGGCAGCCAAGCTCAGATTATACAGGTTGTGGTACCATAGCTTGCATCCATGGCCGCCATACGAGTAGGCGATGCAGTAGCATTTGCTCCGGCAAGCCTCTCTGCAGACTTCATCAGTTCCGGCCATCTCTTCCTGGGCGTCGTAAGGAAGCCCTTGCAGCTTGTCCAACGGGGCGAAGGAGTCATCGTGCTCCGTCTGGCCGTCGGACTCGCAGCTCAGCGGGAGAGACCTCGAGCAGCCGTTGACGAAGTACCCAAGCCCCCACTCAATCGGGTACGACGGCGTGAACCCGCCCACACAGCCGCACTTCCCGCTGCTCGTGCAGGCGCCGAACTTACCGCAGAAGAACCCGCCGGACTTGCAATTGGAAGGGAAGGACCAGCGAGCAACCCAACCACCGGTGCCGTTTCCGGCGGGATCCGGCTCCGAGTACCGCATTAGGCTGACTTGCCCCAGATGGAACTGCAAGAACTCGGTACTGTTCAGGCCCTCCCTGTGATTGAGCAGCAGCGAGCTGCCATTGTCTTGAGAGGACACCATCCAGTCCGGGAAGGTGCCGCGGTTGGCATGGCCGTCGGTGGTGAGCACGAACCCGTTCCTGCGGTTCGCGTCGACGCTGAGGCTGCCGTTGTGCGAGAAGCTCTTGAACGTCAGCGAGACGTTCTTCCCGGTGTCCTTGTCGAGCCCGAGCCTAGCTCCGGGGAGCAGCGCGTCGCTGGGGTAGTCGAAGCTCTGCCACAGGACCAGGGAGGAGTTCCCCTGGTCCCTCACCACCAGGTTGCCGTTGTCGAGGAGGACCGCCACGGCGGCGGACGACACATTGCCGCCCGGCGACGGCATGCACCGGAGGCTGGCTCCATTCTGCTTGATGCAGAGACTGTCGGCGAAGATCTCCAGCGACGCGGCGGGCAGGTCGGTGATGACGACCCTGTCCCCGAGCCAGAAGGTAGGGCTGTGGCCCATATTCCGGAACCGGACACCCAGGAAGTAGTGGATGCCGGGGCCTGGGGAGAAGAAGCCCAGCTCGAAGCCGCCGCTCCTGGAGACCAGGGTCTCGTTCCCGGAGATGCCCTCGCCGGGGAGGATGGTGTCCGTGGTGGCAGACGCGGCAAGCAGGGCACCGTCAATGAGCAGGAGGAAGAGAAATACCAGCGCCGCCCCTTTGGTTGGGGAGAGGCCGAGGCCGAGCGAACGCGCCGCGCCGCCGCCATTGGTGTGCATAACTTTCCGAGGAACGAACTGGGAACCTCCCCCAATCCTCCAGCCCGACCAGTGGTGACGGTGAACGCCCGTCACCGCCGCCATTGGCGCCGCCGGCTCGTCTTGCTCTCAAAGCTTGCTCCAGTTCAGCAAGCTTCAGAAGTTCAGAGCAGAGAGTGGTTTGCACTTCAGGTTTGCGGTGTAAATATCGCCCGCACCCGCCCATGTCACCTTCAATCACTTCCCTTTTTTTTGAGGGGATTCAATCACTTCCCTTCACAGAGTGACAGTTCAGCTTTTGTCTTTTCGTGTGTGTTTGTGCGTGCGGACGCTGTAGTGGACGGTGAAATTATGTGGAAATCGGCTTATCTTTCTTCTTATAAACTGACATGATATAGTGGTTGACAAGTTTAAATTGCACCGCTTTGCGAGAGCCTTTGACAGTCTCGTCGCCTTTTCTGTTGCATGTCATGAGGAAACGGGGTTTGAAAGAAGGTGGCTCTTGGATCTCTCTAATCCTCTCCTCCCAGAGAAAAGAATTAGGCGTGCAGGGAGGTCCTGTTGGAATATTAGGTAAATTTGTAATTAATTTCAATAAATAATTCATGACTGGAACAGTAACTAGAATGCAACAATCTAACATACTAGATGAACTGAAAAACATGCAAGACAGCAATACACATGTCACATCAACCATAATTAGGGATATGAACATATCAGGATGCACGTACTGTTCGTTAGTAGCCATGCCGCTAGCGATATTGTTGACGACGACGTTGGTGAATGTCGGACGATGCATATGAGGTTGGAGACGTCGGTACGTGACGCCGTCCGACATAGATAGAAGACAACCCACGGTGACAAACTCGAGCAGTTGTGTGGAGCGCTTTCCAAAAACCTAATTCGCTCTTCCTGGTGTAGGATCATAAAGACAAACAGTTTCGGAGACATGCTCTTCCGGACTCCTGCAAATGCACTGACCAGATTACGCACGCCTGTGCACATGGCCCCGACCCCCACCTGCCATGCCCCGGCGAGGCGCGTCCGGGTCCTTCTTCTCTCCTCGACACAACAGTTAGCGAAGTGGGGAGGATCCATTATATAAAAGGTCTCACATGTCCTTAACTTTCGGGTTGGATCTAAACTTAAACCCTTTACTTGGAAGAAACGTGGGTTTGGAACAAAGTGGCTCTTGGATCTCTCTAGTCGAGCTAAAAAAACCTGACGTCCATGGCAATTAGTCGTTGATGTGTGGAAATTTTTCTGTTTATTTTTAGTGCTACATGACACGGCAAATCCTTTGCTACATGAAATGGCAAATCCTTTGCTACATAAAATGGCAAATCCTTATAATGCATATCAGATGACATGGGAACTTAAATGCTCCCACGCTAGGATGTGATCTCAGTTGTTGGATCTCAACCTGACATTTTTTTTCCCAATCCTTATACATAAGCATGGCAATTTTATCAGTTTTCACATGGTAAATCTGGTCGTCGAATTTTTAGCGCTAAAAAGTTGGTGTTAGATTTTTTACACTTTTGGCATGCGCACGGTCCAAGGCATGTGAAAGGATCAGTATGATCGACTAACCGGTGTGAATAGCCGACTAACAATTTTTAACTTCTTCTCTAAATTTTAGGCTTAACAAGAAAATAGGTTGTTAGATATGCAAATAAGTGGACAACCGGTCGGAGGGGGGACGGGATTGGAGGGAATGGGATGGAATGGGAGTGGATTGAGTGAGAGTACAGTGGGCTGTGAACTAGGATTTTGTCCGGCAGATAGGGATTTTGTGGGGTCGTGACGAGCACATCCGAGCGTCCTCATATCCGTCCAAGATATGGACGGGTATGGGGAGTGCCGAACAGCCCAAACATTTGGGTTGGATTTGTCAGGCCCGGTTGGGTGGCAATTTAGTCAACCTAAGATTGGGTGGCAATTTTGAGTCCCATTGTGACTGGGCAGCCAACCTAGGCTTACAACACATATGTCTAAAACCCTTAAAAAATTCAGATCTAAACTTGAAATACACATTGAGAAAAAAGGCAAATTTATCTTGAATAGTCAAAATAAGACAAAATTAAATTGACACTATCTACATCTGGATTAATTTTTTCTCATCGCGTATTCCAAATTTTGATTTGAATGTTTTAGGTGTTGTGCATAGTTATCTTGTGAACACACATTAGTTTTACAGAATTTTAGAAATGTGCAAATTCGTTTTTTTTTTGGAGAAAATAGTACTAGCATGTAAGGGCTGGTACTTTTGGATATTTTTCTGGTAAAATGAACCTCGCCTCGAAATCTCTTTGAAGTACGTACTTGTCCGCTGTGATCCTAGTCATTTTTAACTTATGGCTATATCCAAACGAGATTTTAATATGAAAATATTATAGAGTTGACGTTCCCAGTGAGCGGTTTTTGAAGGACCGCTCTATGGTATGTCCGATTCCGCGGGTGAATCTCAAAGCGGTGACACATGACAATAACGACGTGGCCACAACATTCACACCACACCTTCTCAACGTAACAGCTCAGGCCTCCTTTGATTCATAGGATAGGAATGTTATAGAAATAGGAAGATTATAGGAAGTGAGATGACATGTATCTCAATTCCTATAGAGAAAGAGATGTCATTTGATACATATAATATGAACTTTTCCATTAAGTCTTAGCTAATATTTTTTTCTCCAAAATGTGAAGGATTGATTTTTATCCTACATATGAATAGAAATCCATTCCCACAAACCAAAGAGATTGAAAGAAAATTTTCCTATGCAAATTCTATCCTATAGAGATCCTATGAGATTCCTACAAACCAAAGGATGCCTCAAATGTTTGCTCCCACAGACCCTCCTAAAGGAATGACCCATGTGTAGCATGCCATTCACTTATGATGTAAGGGCTTCTTCAACGTCGACCCTTAAACTACCCGCATACGTCCAGACAGCACGGTCCGAACAGATTGTGTCATCCAACACAAGTCCTATATCGGTCCGCTTGACGATCCGGACGTATTTTCTCCTGCAATCCGGAGACAAACTAGGGGGAGGGGGCTTTACGGGCGTCCGAAAAGCACCCACGCCCGCTTCTGACCACCCTGGCCAACCCAACACCCTCCTTCCTCGCCTGCGCGCGTTCCCGCCCGAAGCGGTCAGTGCCGCTCTAGAGCGCCAGTGCCGCATTCATGCCCGGCCAGAGTGGACGTGACCTCTCACTGCCACCGGCATTGAAGCGGCGCGTCGGCCGAGAGAGCACCGCCCATGCTGCTTCCGGTGCACACGACTGCTTCGTGTTCAAACGGCACCGCGACCGTCCGTCTGTCCATCTGACGCCCACATTAATGACACGCTGATACGTGTCCAATGTATCTACAATTTTTGATTGTTCCATGCTATTATATTATCTATCTTGGATGTTTTATATGCATTTATATGCTATTTTATATGATTTTTGGGACTAACCTATTAACCTAAAGCCCAGTGCCAGTTTCTGTTTTTTCTTGTTTTTGAGTTTTATAGAAAAGGAATATCAAACGGAGTCCAAATGACCTGAAACTTTACGACGATTGTTTTTGGACCAAAAGAAGCCCACGGAGTACCGGAGATGCACCAAAGGAGTCCCGAGGCCTCCAAAAGGGTGAAGGGCGCCCCCACCCCCCTAGGGTGCGCCTTCCGACCTTGTGGGCCCCTCGTGGACTCCCCTGACTTGTTCTCGACGCCAACACCTTTTACATATCCCCAAACCTCCAGAACAGAATCAAGATCGGGAGTTCCGCCGCCGCAAGCCTCTGTAGCCACCAAAAATCAATCGGGACCCTGTTCCGGCACCCCGTCGGAGGGGGAAACCATCACCAGTGGCCATCTTCATCATCCCGGCGGTCTACATGACGAGGAGGGAGTAGTTCACCCTCGGGGCTGAGGGTATGTACCAGTAGCTATGTGTTTAATCTCCCTCCCTCTCTCTCTCTCGTGTTCTTGATATGGCACAATCTTGATGTACCGCGAGCTTTGCTATTATAGTTGGATCTTATGATGTTTCTCTCCCTCTACCTTCTTGTAATGGATTGAGTTTTCCCTTTTAAGTTATGTTATTGGATTGAGTCTATAAGGATTTGAGAACACTTGATGTATGTCTTGCATGTGCTTATCTGTGGTGACAATGGGATATCATGTGATGCACTTGATGTATGTTTTGGTGATCAACTTGCAAGTTCCGTGACCTCGTGAACTTATGCATACGGGTTGGCACACATTTTCGTCTTGACTCTCCGGCAGAAACTTTGGGGCACTCTTTGAAGTTCTTTGTGTTGGTTCGAATAGATGAATCTGAGATTGTGTGATGCATATCGTATAATCAAACCCGCGAATACTTGTGGTGACATTGGAGTATCTAGGTGACATTAGGGTTTTGGTTGATATGTGTCTGAAGGTGTTATTTTAGTATGAACTCTAGGACTGTTTGTGACACTTGTAGGAATAGCCCAATAGATCGATCAGAAAGAATAACTTTGAGGTGGTTTTGCACCCTACAATAATCTCTTCGTTTGTTCTCCGCTATTAGTGACTTTGGAGTGACTCTTTGTTGCACGTTGAGGGATTGTTATATGATCTAATTATGTTATCATTGTTGAGAGAACTTGCACTAGTGAAAATATGAACCCTAGGCCTTGTTTTCAAGCATTGCAATACCGTTTTCGCTCACTTTTGTTACTAGTTACCTTGCTGTTTTTATATTTTCAGATTACAAAAACCTATATCTACCATCCATATTGCACTTGTATCACCATGTCTTCGCCGAAACAGTGCACCTATACAATTTACCATTGTATTGGGTGTGTTGGGGACACAAGAGACTCTTTGTTATTTGGTTGCAGGGTTGTTTGAGAGAGACCATCTTCATCCAATGCCTCCCACGGATTGATAAACCTTAGGTCATCCACTTGAGGGAAATTTGCCGCTGTCCTACAAAACTCTGCACTTGGAGGCCCAACAACGTCTACAAGGTCAAAGTTCCGTAGTAGACATCACACGCGGTTGCCAGAAACCTAATCCAGCACCACCCATTCGTCTATCTTTCGCCCACCATTCCCATTCACCCGC